CTGGAAGTAGTTGAGAATTTGAAAGTAGAAGGCAGCTTGGGTGAAAGTGATCATGAAATCATAGAGTTTGCAATTCTAAGGAAGGGTAGAAGGGAGAACAGCAAAATAGAGACAATGGATTTCAGGAAGGCGGATTTTGGTAAGCTCAGAGAGCTGATAGGTAAGGTCCCATGGGAATCAAGACTGAGGGGAAAAACAACTGAGGAGAGCTGGCAGTTTTTCAAAGGGACACTATTAAGGGCCCAAAAGCAAGCTATTCCGCTGGTTAGGAAAGATAGAAAATGTGGCAAAAGACCACCTTGGCTTAACCACGAGATCTTGCATGATCTAAAAAATAAAAAGGAGTCATATAAAAAATGGAAACTAGGACAGATTACAAAGGATGAATATAGGCAAACAACACAGGAATGCAGGGGCAAGATTAGAAAGGCAAAGGCACAAAATGAGCTCAAACTAGCTAAGGGAATAAAGGGGAACAAGAAGACTTTTTATCAATACATTAGAAGCAAGAGGAAGACCAAAGACAGGGTAGGCCCACTGCTTAGTGAAGAGGGAGAAACAGTAACAGGAAACTTGGAAATGGCAGAGATGCTTAATGACTTCTTTGTTTCGGTCTTCACCGAGAAGTCTGAAGGAATGCCTACTCTAGTGAATGCTAATGGGAAGGGGGTAGGTTTAGCAGATAAAATAAAAAAAGAACAAGTTAAAAATCACTTAGAAAAGTTAGATGCCTGCAAGTCACCAGGGCCTGATGAAATGCATCCTAGAATACTCAAGGAGCTAATAGAGGAGGTATCTGAGCCTCTAGCTATTATCTTTGGAAAATCATGGGAGACGGGAGAGATTCCAGAAGACTGGAAAAGGGCAAATATAGTGCCCATCTATAAAAAGGGAAATAAAAACAACCCAGGAAACTACAGACCAGTTAGTTTAACTTCTGTGCCAGGGAAGATAATGGAGCAAGTAATTAAGGAAATCATCTGCAAACACTTGGAAGGTGGTAAGGTGATAGGGAACAGCCAGCATGGATTTGTAAAGAACAAATCATGTCAAACCAATCTGATAGCTTTCTTCGATAGGATAACGAGTCTTGTGGATAAGGGAGAAGCTGTGGATGTGGTATACCTAGACTTTAGTAAGGCATTTGATACGGTCTCGCATGATATTCTTATCGACAAACTAGGCAAATACAATTTAGATGGGGCTACTATAAGGTGGGTGCATAACTGGCTGGATAACCGTACTCAGAGAGTTGTTATTAATGGTTCCCAATCCTGCTGGAAAGGCATAACGAGTGGGGTTCCGCAGGGGTCTGTTTTGGGACCGGCTCTGTTCAATATCTTCATTAACGACTTAGATATTGGTATAGAAAGTACGATTATTAAGTTTGCGGATGATACCAAACTGGGAGGGATTGCAACTGCTTTGGAGGACAGGGTCATAATTCAAAATGATCTGGACAAATTGGAGAAATGGTCTGAGTTAAACAGGATGAAGTTTAACAAAGACAAATGCAAAGTGCTCCACTTAGGAAGAAAAAATCAGTTTCACACATACAGAATGGGAAGAGACTGTCTAGGAAGGAGTACGGCAGAAAGGGATCTAGGGGTTATAGTGGACCACAAGCTAAATATGAGTCAACAGTGTGATGCTGTTGCAAAAAAAGCAAACGTGATTCTGGGATGTATTAACAGGTGTGTTGTGAGCAAGACACGAGAAGTCATTCTTCCGCTCTACTCTGCTCTGGTTAGGCCTCAGCTGGAGTATTGTGTCCAGTTCTGGGCACCGCATTTCAAGAAAGATGTGGAGAAATTGGAAAGGGTCCAGAGAAGAGCAACAAGAATGATTAAAGGTCTTGAGAACATGACCTATGAAGCAAGGCTGAAAGAATTGGGTTTGTTTAGTTTGGAAAAGAGAAAACTGAGAGGGGACATGATAGCAGTTTTCAGGTATCTAAAAGGCTGTCATAAGGAGGAGGGAGAAAACTTGTTCACCTTAGCCTCTGAGGATAGAACAAGAAGCAATGGGCTTAAACTGCAGCAAGGGAGGTCTAGGTTGGACATTAGGAAAAAGTTCCTAACTGTCAGGGTGGTTAAACACTGGAATAAATTGCCTAGGGAGGTTGTGGAATCTCCATCTCTGGAGATATTTAAGAGTAGGTTAGATAAATGTCTATCAGGGATGGTCTAGACAGTATTTGGTCCTGCCATGCGGGCAGGGGACTGGACTCGATGACCTCTCGAGGTCCCTTCCAGTCCTAGAATCTATGAATCTATGAATCTATGAATCCTTCATCTCCGAGGGCAGGACTCTCCTGTGTGCTTCGAACCACTGCAGGAAGAGCTGCGTGTGACAGCCTACCACGCAGATGTGGGCCGGTGCTGGAGCGGGTGACCTGGGTCTAGCGGGGATTGGGGGGGAGACTGCCTAGGAAAGCTGGGGGTGCAGGCAGTGGGGTTGCTGATCCTTCCCTGTGAGCCAGAGCCCAGGGGGTGCTGGAGGGACCATCTCTGTAAGGAGCCGTACGACCAAGGTCCTGGCTGCTTGTGGTGAGCTGAGAGCCTAGAGCGAGTAGCCCTGGTGTCTGCCCAGACTGGTCCTTCTGCAGCAACCACTGCAGACCGAGTTCCCTTTCGCTGCCGGCTGCTGTTCAACAGCTGCCATGTTCCGCCCCCGAGGTGGCTGCACTGCAGTGGCAGGTGGAGCGATCGTTACACACGGTTCGGAAAGTGCTCTGGTTCCCCTAACCCCCACCCAATCTGGACCGGTTCCCCTGCTTTCTTCGAGGGCCTGAGGTGCTTTTGTTTGCTCCCTTTGTCTCCCCTGGGCCTGTGTTTCCTTGTCGCCCCGTTGGATCTCCTGTTTGTTTTGCAGTTTGCAAACAAGCCATCTGGTTCCTGGCAGTGACCTGACTTGTTTGATTTCATGGTTTGCTTCCTGCTGCCGCACAGGTGTGACGGTGCGTGGCTCTGCCCTGGAGAGTTTGGCGAATACACCGCGGCTCGGGGGGCAGGGGGATAAGTGGGGCTCGGGGGTGATGCAAGGGGAAAGCAGGACACGGGAAGGAAACCAGCCCCAGCTGGAAAGGGAGGAGTTCGTGCAGTTTGGAATTAGAGCTGTGGGGTTGCCAGGCCTGGCTGGACTCACTAGAGAACATCCCCTGGATATGCCCCAGCAGGTGGAGTTCCTGGTGCCCACTGGGCTGGGGTGAGCCCGGCCCGTGTCTGTCAGCTGAGGGGATCACAGCCCAGCGTGGCCGGACGTGATCCCCACTGCAGTCCTGTGACCTCTGCTTTCTACAGGGGCAGATGCACCCCCAGTCCCTGCAGCACAGCGCCCCATACGCTGCACCGGGTCAGCACTGCCTGCGAGGGGAGAGCGCCCCATACTGAGCCCCCCACCCCGCCCCCTGCAGCACAGCGCCCCCTAGCCCTGCATCGGGTCAGCACTGCCTGCGAGGGGAGAGCGCCCCCTGCTGAGCCCCACCCCGCCCCCTCCAGCACAGTGCCCCCTAGCCCTGCACCGGGTCAGCACTGCCTGCGAGGGGAGAGCGCCCCCTACCGAGCCCCACCCCGCCCCCTCCAGCACAGCGCCCCCTAGCCCTGCATCGGGTCAGCGCTGCCTGCGAGGGGAGAGCGCCCCCTACCGAGCCCCACCCCGCCCCCTCCAGCACAGCGCCCCCTAGCGCTGCACTGGGGTATTGGGGTCAGTGCTGCCTGCAAGGGGAGAGCGCCCCCTACCGAGCCCCACCCCCAGTCCCTGAAGCACAGCGCCCCCTAGCCCTGCACCGGGTCAGCGCTGCTTGTGAGGGGAGAGCGCCCCCTACTGAGCCCCCCACCCCGCTCCCAGCAGCACAGCGCCCCCCTAGCGCCTCACTGGGGTATTGGGGTCAGCACAGACTGCGAAGGGAGAGCGCCCCCTACTGAGCCTCACCCCTCTCCCAGCAGCGCCAGCCTTTTGCTCAGTGGTGTCTCTTCCACACAAACCTTCTGCTCTCGAGCTCCGGGTCGTGGGGAGGGAGAGGCCGCCGTGACCAGGACCGGGAGGAGACGTGAGAGCACCAGGGGGCAGGGGGCCCTCCTGCTGGGCTGGGGCTCGCTGGGGGAGGCAGTGCTGCCATGGCTCGGGGCTCTGTGCCGTGGCTCCTGGGGCCACTGGCTGCATGGCTGTGATGGGGCTGGCTTGGACTCGCCCGGGAGACGCTGCAGCCAGGGCCCGAACCTGGGACACGAGAGATCCAGAGCCAGGTCCCCTTTTATCCGAACCCCGTGGGCTGGGGGCTGGCTCTGGGCATGGCCTAGCCTGTGCCCCTGGTCCCTGGTACCAACGGCTATCAGATGGGGGCACCAGGCCAGGCAGGAGCTCCCCGGGTGCCTTGGCAGGGCCTGGCTGCAGGCCGGAGGCTGGGCTCTCCTGGCACGGCTCTGGACTAGCCGGAGCGCTGGCCAGGCTGGCGGGTGGGGCTGGCACTGTTATACCCGGGCCCATGGGGCAAGCTTCCGGTGTATCTATGCGCCCCCCAAAGGCAAACAGAGCTGGTGCCGAGGTCACACCGGGGCCAAGCCGGTCAAGGGAGGGACCGCACCATGGCTAATGGGAGAGGCTGCGGGTTCCAGGCTCATCCCAGCTCCTGCTGAAAGGGAGCTCGGTGGGTGGGTGTGGGGAGGGTGATGCCCCCCTCCACCCCCGGCAGAGTCCCAGAGCCCAGGCTCCAGCCCAGACGTCTACACTGCAGTTTTACAGCCCTGCAGCCTGACCCGGCTGACCCGGACCAGCCATGGGCGTTTTGTGCAGTGTTAGTGTAACCAGGGATTGTCCCTGTAAGCTCTGCTCCAGCGCAGCCCCGGATTCCTGCGCTCGAAGCAGGAGTCGCTTGGTGAATTCTCGGGCCTGCGTCACGCAGCTGGTCGGACTGGGGCGGGGGGGAGGGGGGCAGGACAGTCCCTTCGGGCCGTGGCGTCTCTGGGGTGCTAACCCCCCTCTCTGCTCCTTTTCCCCAGAACTCCTCACTAACTTGATCCAGCAGAAAAGTGACATTACGAACCCTGCCGTGTACAAAGAGGTGAGGGCCCTGGCGGGGCCATGGGGCAGGGCATGAGGCAGGGCCCCCCATAGGCACAGAGGGAGAAGGTCCCTGTCAGGGCTCAGTTGCGGACTCTGAGGTCAGCCATGCCCCAACTGATGCCCTCCCCCCAGCGATGCCATCCATGCTGAAGACAGGGGCAGCAGACTGGAGCGCTTTGGAAGAATCAAACCCCAAGGCACGTGGGCCGATTCCGGGCAGAAAGCCCAGCGGCCTGGCCAGGTTCCAGAGCTGGTGACTCCTTTCTGTCTCCCCAGATCCTTGCGCCTCCCCCGCAGTGTCGCTCCTTCACTTCCTGCCCCAAGCTGCCCCGCTGCGTTCAGTGCTGGTGCGTTCCGCCCCAGAGGCAGCTGCATTTCGGGGGGGAGGAGTGAGGCCCAGGGCCGCGGGCGCTGCTGGGATGGACGTTGCTAACACTCGCGCTCTCGCCCTAGGTGCTGGTTTACGAGGTGGGTTTCCTGGTCTGCACAGCCATCGGCCTCCTCTTCATCATCCTCATGCCCCTGGTCGGCTTTTGCTTCTGCTGCTGCCGCTGCTGCGGGAACTGCGGGGGGAAGATGTACCAGAAACAAAGCAAGCGCACGGGCTGCCGGCGCAGGGCGCTCTTCGCCTCGGTGCTGCTGGTCACCACCCTCATCCTGTGAGTGCCGCGCTCCGGCCCAGCGCCTCCGCGGGCCGTATTTCAGTGTAGCGCCCAAGTGCCGTGGGCTCTGGCATTGCTGCCTGGCCATGGGTCGCTGGCCTCGTGGGGGGTGCACTTACCCTGTATAGAGGGGGGGTTGGGAAGGGCCCCGGATGACCAGGCGTTACTAACCCCCTCTGAGCTAGGCAGATCCCTGGGTCCCCAGGCTGGTCTCGTCCACTGGCCCCGTCATCTCTTCTCGCACAGTGCGGTGGCCTGGGCCGGCTGCTCAACCCCTCCCCCCCCGGGGGCTTTATCTGTGCGCTGAGGCTGTGATCCCACCCAGGGGACGAACACACGAGCG